GATAGATAGATAGATAGATAGATAGATAGATAGATAGATAGATAGATAGATAGATAGATAGATAGATAGATAGATAGATAGATAGATGGATAGATGATAGATAGATAGATGGCTAGATAGATAGATGATAGATGGATAGATGGATAGATAATAGATTGATAGATGGATGGATAGATAGAAGATAGATGATAGATGGATGGATAGATAGATATATGGATGGATGGATGGATGGATGGATGGATGGATGGATGGATGGATAGATAGATAGATAGATAGATAGATAGATAGATAGATAGATAGATAGATAGATAGATAGATAGATAGATAGATAGATAGATAGATAGATAGATAGATAGATAGATAGATAGATAGATAGCCTACTCCCATTACTATGTGATATGAGCTTTAACTCTCAGTTTGATGTATGATAAACTCTTAGAGCACCACCATGTGGAATAAATGACCCCGCACTGATGTTTATTTTTGATAAATGTAAGGTATATGTGTAGCTATAGGCTACAATAAAATATAATATAATACACAGTCAATGCAATGAGTAAATCAAAAAACGAAATGGATGAACGAATAGATCAATATATTACTGAACTAGAGTTAATCGGAAATCATCGTCAGGAGAACGAGAGAACGACAGAGTGGAGGATGAGTCTCCAGAGGTCCGACCAGATCGTGGCCAATAGAGGGCGCCATAGAGGCCTCGTAACATCCAGTCATTGTTTATTCCAAAATGACGGAAAACAGCGCGTCGCCGGAGGATCCCTGGCTCAAAGTAAGCAACAATATTCAGATAAAGACTGTCCGTTGATTTTAAACAGCCATATCCTCCCAAATCGCCCTCGTGAAGTGTGTTTCTGTTTATCTGTGTAGGTCTGCAGCGGTTGGTTTCACTCTCTAGCTCAGCTGGCTAACGTTAGTCGTAAAGTTCAGCAAGTCAAAAGAACAGTTACCCTGCTCCCCACATTATCGTGATTTCAAAATGCAGTGTATTTAGTGGTGATTTAGACAACAAATTACTACAGAAACGCGTCCGAAACCGGTTCTGCGCTTAAACGGACTATATATGTTGTAAATGTTAGAATGGAAGCTATAACAGATGTGTAAGAGTTGAATCCGCTAAGCTAACGTGTTTGATCGCTACATTGGCTGTGTTTCGAAACGTATTTAAATGGCCACTAGACAGAATTGTTGGGCATGGAAGGCGCGTTCGAACGAACGAATCGACTCCCCAGAGAACGGGATTCCATTCAAGCGACAGATGATGCCCCAAAATACTGTCAAGACCGCAAAATAAAGCTCACTAGTTCTCTTTGTTTGTGCCTTCATTATATTTATGCTGCGGTTCCAATGCATTATAACTTCCTGCCGCATTCATATGCAGCGAATTGAATATGCCCTCAATTGCACCGACTGTAATGACATCTTGACAATATGACAGAGATTGCTCAATCTGAGAGGTTGGAGACGCATTATGCATGTAGATTAAATGTCACCCTTTAAAGGGGTTATTTGGGACACATCACAGTGGGGAGTTAGAGGTGTCCTAGATAAAGGTAAGGCAGGACATGTCAGGCTCTGTTTGCATATGTGATCATCAGTTGACTGGCTTTGACTGTTCTTCTGTTTGTCTTTTTATATCACCCGTCTCACCATCATGTCTCAGCAGACGGACGGCGCCTTCAGCGACAACGGCTTCGATCACAGTGAGTACCTGAGCTATAAAATATTACTTGAAGTCTCACCTAATGTGTTTTTTTTCCTCCAGCTTATATACCAAGATGAAGGTTAGACATGCAGTTATAAAAACATAGTGAACCCATAGGCTGGACTTGACAAACTGAAACTACTTTGTGCTGTCAAATGTTGAAGTAACCAAAAATGACTAAACTAGTGTATGTTTATACTTCTATAATTTTCTATATCATTAGGTTTTTTTGCCGAGAATGCTCGCCAAGGAAGTTTGGTGTCAAGAGCCAACAGCATTGGATCCACAAGTGCCTCTTCTGTACCAAACACAGGTAATACCTCAATCATCTAATATCAAACATGGCCATTATTTTATAACCGTTGCTCTAAAATGGTCATCGTTTCACTGCCATGAAATACTAAAATCACATTTTTTTTAAATGCATGTTAGATCTAATTGTGAATAATTAAATCCTTGTATACGTACTGTATGCAAGACTCTTCCCTGCTCCCTCTGATGCAAAGAACCAAGTCCATGGCCTATATTGTTTTCTTTTTCAATTACGTTACACTCTGACACTGTACGTCACAATATAAAAGAAAACATGTTGATTTCTGCAACTTTAAAGACAGACATCAAGATACAGTCTGATAACATACAGTTCTTCCCTTTGGTTTAGATGATGAAGACAGTGATAACAGACATGAGACGCCGTATAAGGAGTCGTATAAAGACCGGAGGAGACAGGCACACACACAGGCAGAGCAGAAACGCAGAGATGCCATCAAGGTAAGAGTGAGAATAGCAAATTGGTTTAGGGAAAACAAAAGACAGAACATATCAGAATCAGAATTAGCTTTATTCGCCAGGTGTGTGTAAACACACAAGGAATTTGTTGTTGTTGTTTTTTAAGGTGCTCCTGGTACATACATACATATCTGACATGAGAACAGAAAAAAAAAAAACATTTAAATAATACAATAAATAATGTGTATGAATCTGGAACAGTAGATTTATGTACAGATTTGTGCATTATTTACTCTATATAGAACTGTATAAATAAAGAGATATACATATGTATTTTTTTATTATTTTAAATATTGTATTTATGTATTATTTCTATGTATATAGTAGCTTACATAAGCACAAGGGCACCTAAGTACTTGGAAGTGACGGTAATAATCGATCATAAAAGCACAGTAATTACTTGACTTGATTAAGTAATTAAGGGGGGGGGGCATTTTTGCCAAATAGAAATACTGATTTTGTAAACATAGGTCTGCACAATTTGCAAAACTATTTTTGTTTTATTACTTCATTCCCTGATAAAAATTGTAAATTGTTTACAATTACAAATGTTGTTCCAGGTGCTGTGCTTGTTTGTAGGGCTGCTCAATATGGCCAAACACTTTGTGATTATATAGAAATATGGCAATAATAATGATAATCCATCAAGCTTTCATTTTGGTGGAAAAAATTACGCAGCGACCCTTTAAATCTTCTCTTCTGTTGACAACAGCTGGTTTGTAAGTGCTTTTCATTACAAATTTGGGAAGATGATCAGCGCATGTTGTGTTCCCAAATACATGGTACAAGCAACCCAAAACATGCAGAGATGAGTTCATGTGGAGCAGAATTTACTGTGAACAGACCCGCTTTGAGATCCTGAAAACACTGGATTGTGAGCTGCTCGTGTGTAAAAGAACACAGTGCCTTGTTCCTAGCGTTCTACTTCTGTCACTCAAATGTGTCTGTACGGATCTCTGTCCCACAGAAAGGCTATGATGACCTGCAGTCTATAGTGCCTACATGCCAGCAACAGTCTGACTTTGCCATGGCCACACAGAAGATGAGTAAAGCTACAGTCCTGCAGAAGAGTGAGAACCTTCATTATCTATTTATATCTCCTTGTCACATGTCTTTCACTCTGGAATGGAAAAGCTCAGCAGCTTGTGTGTGTGTGTTTGCAGCAATCGACTACATTCAGTTTCTCCACAAAGAAAAGAAGAAGCAGGAAGAGGATGTTTCCACACTTAGGAAGGAGGTGATGGCACTGAAAATTATGAAAACGTGAGTGGGGGGTTATTTACAGGGGGCTGGGACATTTTTAACTGTTAAAGCAGACAAATGTAGTTCCACTTATTCTCCGGCAGGGTTGTTTTCGGCTTTATCTGACACTGTCACTCTTCTGCCAAGAAAGATAACACCCTCCAAGACCTATAAAAGGGAGGGAGGAAGAAAAGTCTCAGACACTAATGTGTTTCTAATGGTTTGTTTCAGGAACTATGAGCACATTGTGAAGGCCCATCAGAATAACCCTCAGCAGGGCAGCGAGCAGGTTTCAGATCAGGTGAAGTTCAGTGTGTTTCAGAGCATCATGGACTCTCTGTTCCAGTCCTTCAGTGCCTCAGTGTCGGTCAACAGCTTTCAGGAGCTCTCTGCCTGCGTCTTCAGCTGGATCGAGGAACACTGCAAGCCCCAGGTAGCACATACACATACATGCTCACACGTTTAAAGGAATAGTTCACCCAAAAATGAAAATTGTCATAATTTGCTCACTCATGTCATTTCAAACCTGTTTGAGTTGTTTTCTTATGTTGAACATAAAAGAAGATATTATGAACAATGCTGGTAATCAAACAATTGATGGTCCCCATTGACTTCCATAGTATTTATTTCCCTACTCTGGAAGTCAATGGGAACGAACTACTTTTTTTTTGTTCTTCAACATTTTTCAAAATATCTTCTGTTGTGTTCAACTTAAGAAAGAAACTTATACAGGTTTGGAACAACATGGAGGTAAGTAAATGATGACAACATTTACATTTTTAGGTGAACTATTCCTTTAAGGCTGGTTAATAGGTGAATTATGACATGAACAACGAGTTGCAGTTCTCAGCTTTTTTTAACATAAAGGTCCACAACAATATGTAAAGGCCCCATGAGTTTTCCAGTTGTTTGCGATTTACTGGATAAGGATTCAGAAGGATTTTTAAAAATAGCTTTTACTCAGCTTCTACCTGATCAAATATTTTAGAGTTTGAAAACTAGAAAATAATGTATACATTAAACATTTTTTAATATTTAATTAGTTAACTAGACTTTTCCAAGTCTAGAAATCACATTTAAAATTAGGCTATCTAGGTTTTTCCAGACCATGGGAACCCGGGCTTTTCAAAGAAAAATAGTTAAGGAGGTAAATTAAAATGAGAATTTTTTTTGTTCTTGCGGTTGTTTTTAGCTCATTTTAAAGTTTGTTTAGTCTCATTTTAAATCATTAGTAAGACTTTTTGCAAGTTTTAAGTTTGCTAAGTACCCTGGTTGAGAACCACTGTTTTAGAGGACATTTACACACTTTATTTTTTATTTTATCACATAGTGGATTGCTATTTTGCTTAAAAGGAAAAATGCATGAAATGATCAAGTGTAAATGCCCCTCGCCAAAAAACACAAAGTATGTGCTCATACCAATTAGACAAAGCAACCTGGAAATGCATTAAAGATGCAAAACGTGCCATAGAACCGTTAATAACACTCTACTCAAACCAATGTAGACAACCTGGGGGCTGTTTCATAAAAGACGGTAAGAAAATCGGGGATTAAAGTCCAAAACCTGACTTGAAATAACCTAACAAATCAATTGGGACTACAGCGGTTTCATAAACGACAATTTAAGTTCACGCAATCTCACTAATTCGATCCAGGTTCAATGAGTCAGGATAATTTGATGTGCATGCTTATTCTTAAGCAGCCCTTAATGTCGATCATGGATCAAAACGATCCACCATGATATATACGAATATTTGTGCCGTTTAATGCATTTGAGACACTGTGTTTTTCTCAGTGCATAACTGACATGTCACAGGTATAGTTTTCCTCTGTAAATGATAGAAAGTCATGCAAATATATCCATTTTGCTGTCAAGAGTGGCCGAGGCTTACGCGAGCGAACGAGCGCTGCTGCACGCTTGTGTGCTACACAGACGGAGCAGAATAGAATAATAGCGCATTTAATTCTGAATAAATATATTATTTATACTAGCTAAAATATTTGTTGTTGGACATTAAATGTGACCAACAGAATAGCAGAATTGTAATCCTACATAAGTGTATTTTTAGGATAGGAGTATCTGTAAATCAAATGTAAGCTGGCTAATACAGCCCTACTAGCTCAAATGAGTTAAATGTGTTCCTCTTATCAGTTAAAATGTAGTCTAATTTCTTTTATTTATTTTCATTTTAATGCTTTAAAGAGCCATTTTAGATTGTAATGTTTTACTAATAACCATAAAAGGCACAGCTGTCATAAAATCAGAGAGAAAGGCTGCACGGCTAGAAACTGCTGATCAACTGAATGCGCAAGTAGCAACCGTGTTCAAATGTTTTCGTATCTATTTAAAAAAAAAGGTCATTGCATTTTGGGCACAATACATTAAATACAGTTAATTGTAGCCTATATTTTTATTTATTTGATTATTTAAGTTGCATTTTCTGTATACTTTTATTTTTGGACTAATAAGTCAACTAATTGTATGTGAGAGAGTCGGTGGTAATAGTGTTAGGAAGATGCTTTAAAGAGCCATTTTAGATTGTAATGTTTTACTAATAACCATAAAAGGCACAGCTGTCATAAAATCAGAGAGAAAGGCTGCACGGCTAGAAACTGCTGATCAACTGAATGCGCAAGTAGCAACCGTGTTCAAATGTTTTCGTATCTATTAAAAAAAAAAGGTCATTGCATTTTGGGCACAATACATTAAATACAGTTAATTGTAGCCTATATTTTTATTTATTTGATTAAGTTGCATTTTCTGTATACTTTTATTTTTGGACTAATAATAAAGTCAACTAATTGTATGTGAGAGAGTCGGTGGTAATAGTGTTAGGCTACGTCCACACGAAGCCAGAGCTTTCCCTATCCGATCTTTTTTTTCCCTCGTCTCAAGAAATATCTGCATCCACACAAAACCACAAAACGATGTAGTATACATGCCTGACCATTATGAGGCATTGTAATTCTGCCACAGAGATGCACTCTTTAAAGAGCCATTTTAGATTGTAATGTTTTACTAATAACCATAAAAGGCACAGCTGTCATAAAATCAGAGAGAAAGGCTGCACGGCTAGAAACTGCTGATCAACTGAATGCGCAAGTAGCAACCGTGTTCAAATGTTTTCGTATCTATTTAAAAAAAAAGGTCATTGCATTTTGGGCACAATACATTAAATACAGTTAATTGTAGCCTATATTTTTATTTATTTGATTATTTAAGTTGCATTTTCTGTATACTTTTATTTTTGGACTAATAAGTCAACTAATTGTATGTGAGAGAGTCGGTGGTAATAGTGTTAGGAAGAGAAGCCAGAGCTTTCCCTATCCGATCTTTTTTTCCCCTCGTCTCAAGAAATATCTGCATCCACACAAAACCACAAAACGATGTAGTATACATGCCTGACCATTATGAGGCGTTGTAATTCTGCCACAGAGATGCACTAAAAACGGAGAAGACGACTTGGACTATGCGCATAAATCTTGCGCGGTATACAAACGAACATGGAACAATACATTTATTAATCTGTGTTAATGTTAGTTAATAAAAAGACAATTGTTCATGTTTTTGTTGTGTTACATGACGTAGTGGTGTCTGACTAGAGGCAAGACGTGGGCTGATGATGTCATAGTTTCAGAAAATATACGGATTTGCTGTCCACACGAAAAACACAAGGGCGGCGTTTTCAAATTTATCCACTCTGGGACCCGGTTTCAAAAAATACTGGTTTCCCTCTCCCAAAACGCCGGATCCGTGTGGACGAAACGCCTATACGATACAAAATGTATGCATATACAGCTAAACGCGTCTCAGTGTGGACGGGGCCTTAGAGGAGCTCAGCTTAGCCTGACAGTTAGCCTGCCAGCAACCTGGAAATGCATTAAAGATGCAAAACGTGCCATAGAACCGTTAATAACACTCTACTCAAACCAATGTAGACAACCTGGGGGCTGTTTCATAAAAGACGGTAAGAAAATCGGGGATTAAAGTCCAAAACCTGACTTGAAATAACCTAACAAATCAATTGGGACTACAGCGGTTTCATAAACGACAATTTAAGTTCACGCAATCTCACTAATTCGATCCAGGTTCAATGAGTCAGGATAATTTGATGTGCATGCTTATTCTTAAGCAGCCCTTAATGTCGATCATGGATCAAAACGATCCACCATGATATATACGAATATTTGTGCCGTTTAATGCATTTGAGACACTGTGTTTTTCTCAGTGCATAACTGACATGTCACAGGTATAGTTTTCCTCTGTAAATGATAGAAAGTCATGCAAATATATCCATTTTGCTGTCAAGAGTGGCCGAGGCTTACGCGAGCGAACGAGCGCTGCTGCACGCTTGTGTGCTACACAGACGGAGCAGAATAGAATAATAGCGCATTTAATTCTGAATAAATATATTATTTATACTAGCTAAAATATTTGTTGTTGGACATTAAATGTGACCAACAGAATAGCAGAATTGTAATCCTACATAAGTGTATTTTTAGGATAGGAGTATCTGTAAATCAAATGTAAGCTGGCTAATACTAGCTCAATAGCTCAAATGAGTTAAATGTGTTCCTCTTATCAGTTAAAATGTAGTCTAATTTCTTTTATTTATTTTCACTTTAAAGAGTTAAAGAGCCATTTTAGATTGTAATGTTTTACTAATAACCATAAAAGGCACAGCTGTCATAAAATCAGAGAGAAAGGCTGCACGGCTAGAAACTGCTGATCAACTGAATGCGCAAGTAGCAACCGTGTTCAAATGTTTTCGTATCTATTTAAAAAAAAAGGTCATTGCATTTTGGGCACAATACATTAAATACAGTTAATTGTAGCCTATATTTTTATTTATTTGATTA